TTCCCCCAGGAGGGAACATTTCATTTAAAACTCCATGAAAGTGATTTTGTGCCTCTTTGGGATGGCACAATAAAGCGCCGTTCACTTGCAGAACGCAAGCTTCTAGAGGGCACATAAGTCTGAAGTAATGAATTTAGGTAAAGGGGTGCAGAGCCAGTGGTGGTTTTGTAGGCAAACATTAATACCTTGAATTTTATGCGAGCAGTTATTGGTAGCCAGTGCAAATTGATAAAGAGAGGTGTGACGTGCATTATTTTTGGCTCATTAAAAATTAATCTTGCTGCCGCGTTCTGGATTAATTGTAGAGGTTTGATAGAAGTGGCTGGAAGACCTGCCAAGAGAGCATTGCAATAGTCCAGCCTGGATAGAACAAGAGCTTGAACAAGGAGTTGTGAAGCATGTTCCGAAAGAAAGGGCCTGATCTTCTTGATTTTGAATAAAGCAAATCTGCAGGACCGGACAGTTTTAGTAATGTGGGAAATAAAAAAATAAAATGGGTAATGATACCCACTAACTTTATATTTGAAACACATTTTAACATTCAGTATGTCTTAATTTCAACATATTAAGTTATATTTTTGTTTACACATGGTTAAAATATGTTTACTGTAGTGGTAACCATGGGAATAAACAAATACCATAGTTGAACTACAGTCACTTTAGTAAAACCATGGTTCATTTTCATTAGGGACTGCCAGTGAAAGGCTGTTGCATGAATAAAATGCAACCTTTTTATTCTGGCAGTGTATGATTTATAATGTAATTGCACAAACTATGTAGGCTACAATTTTAAAAAAGTGTATTTATTGTGATATAACTCCTATACATGTGTTTTTTTTCTGTCCTCTGATAAGCATTGTTCTGGGCATCCGTTCCCAAAAGCATCAATGGTTTCTTATGATACTTTTGGGAAACGCAGCCCTGTTTGAATGCACTCAGAAGTGAGTGAACGCTCTCTGTGATTGATTGGTTCTGTCTTGCAACATTTGCGTGTATTCAGATGAGCAGGAAAATAGTTCTATCCTACACAATTATTCGCTAACATAGGTTATTCGTCCGATTCAAATGCATAATGTACGCATTCTTTTTTTTGTCAAATAAACAAATTCACTGGTTTAAAAAAAACACACCTTAGTATCGACATTTTTATTTGAGTATCGATACTTTCGATACTCGCATCAGTATCAATATGTTGATACTTCAGGATCGATGCGCCCATCCCTAACAGAAACTCGCTGCAAATACTTACAATGCAACAAAATACAGAAAAATACAGCAAATACAGAAATGCTCTGCAAATGCTCACAACACAGACAAATACAGAAACGAGCTGCAAATACTCACAACACAAACCAATAAATAAACGCGCTGCAAATGCTCACAACACAACCAAATAAAGAAATGCGCTGCAAAA